CGTAGTAGTATTCTGCTCACGATTGCAGGATGACGACGACACGTGACTCGCGAGTAGATCAACACTTGCCGCCGGTACTGGGTTATTTAGGCCCTGCACCGTAACTTTTATCTTTTTATTTTTATTTTCCATATTTGTTTTTTTTTTTTTTTTCCAGTTTTTTGGTCCGCGGGGAATATAATATTCCCAGGTGGTGGACAATCTGCCCTCCCTCAGCTTAAGTGAAATTAAAGCTGGGAGAGGACAGATGGTCCATCACCACCCCCTATCCGCCACCCGGGGACGCGCTCGGTAGGAAAAATCTGGAAACATAAAAAAATTTCGAACATAGCTTCGAATTTTCGAACTTAATTTCGAATATTCGAACATATTATGTTGTCATCAATTGTACTCAAGATTACCAAATTTCAGCGAATTCTGGCCACAGGAAGTAGTATTAACAGCATTCAAAATTTTCACCATTTATTCAAGAAAAAGTTTGTATCGATTCATTCGATTCAAACAATCTATTTTGTATTGTTTTAACATAAACAAATTGTTTACTCACTCGATTTGAATGTAGTTGCACATTCACTTGATAGTACTCACAACGTTTGAGTATAACAAAACTTTGTAAATACTATTCTAAACAAACAATGAGTTGAGTGCAAAACAATGAGTCACTCATTATGTGTAGCAAATGGAGTTACTCATGCAAGGATCTAATATCTATCAAAAATATTCTTTTTTAACTCAAGAATAAAATTCTTTTTCAATATTTATTAAAATATATAAATATTATTTTTAACTCAAGAATAAAATTGTTCAATATTTGGCACTTAAATTTTCCCTATTTTTTCAAAACTGACTTCTTTGTTGTATTTTTTGCTCAAAAGGAAGCTAAGACCATTGCCTTTAAGAGCTTTGTGATTGATTACTTACACCATAATATTCAGTAAAACGACATGTCAAAATTTTCAAATAAAATTAAAAATATTATAGTGTAGATACAAAATGTAATAAAACTTACTGAAAATACGAATGGAAAATTGAAAATCGTATGATTTTTTAAAATTTTTTGAAAAAATTTCAAAACGATAGGATTTTTTTTCGTTTTATTTCAGTTTTATATTTATTTAAACAAAGAAAAACATAAAAACTGAAACAAATTTCAAATAAAAACAGAAACAAAATGAAAATTTACGTTTTCTCTTTAAATTTTTTCAATTTGAAGTTTCATTTTATTTCAAATCTGATAGTGTAAAAACAAAATATATTTTCTATTTGATTTTTTTTGATAATCATACCAATTTTAATTTTATTTTGTTTTGGCAGTATGAAATAAAAATCTAACGACTTCTCTCATAGTGTGTAAGCAGCTTTAGTGGATTGTGAGTGGGATATATGTATATATAAAAAATAATTTAACTCCAAAAGCAAAGTTTTTGAGTTAAAATATTATTTTTTTTTTTTCACATATTGCACACTCAGTACAAAAGTGACACAACTCAAAATTTTTTTTAAGAAAAGGAAACAAATTTTTTACAAATTCTGAAAGATACAGAAATACATAACGTTTTTTCTTGAACAGTTAACAACAACAAAATACACTAATATTTTTGTAGAGTTAAACAAGTATATTGTGCATAGTTTAAGGCTTAAAGAATAATAAAACACAAAAATAAAATTTTGAGTTGTGTCACTTTTGTAATAGGTGTGCGATATGTCCCTTGTATCCCACTAAGTGACCACAAAGCTCTTAAAGGAAATTATCAAGCTTTCTTTTGAGTAAAAAAAATAAAACAAAAACGTCCATTTTGAAAAAATAAAAAAAAAATAAGTGCAAAATATCGGAAAAAAATTATTCTTGAGTTAAAAATTTTTTTGATAGATGTCCCACTTTTATCCCATTATGGGACTATAAAGCCCTTAAAGGAAATTGTATAAGCCCTCTATAAGCAAAAAAAGGCCCATTTTGAAAAAAAATAAATTTTTTTTAGAAAGAATGAAAAAATAGCTATCTGAAATTCTTTGGACAATTTTTGCTAGGAGCAATAGGTGAAAAGTTACACTCGTTTGAATAAAACCCTGTATGACCAAAATTTCCAACTTTGACCCCCTCTGACTCCGGCAGTTCTTTTTGCAAATTTCATCCAAATCTGAAGACATCGATTTTTAAAGTTGGGTCACTTGACACGAAATTCCCCATATACATATATTTTATAGGGTAATTAAAAAATTTAACCGAATTGACGAAATTCGGTACACACATTCTTTTTATACATACATTATCGTTACGGCTTGAATTTTATCGATGTTCAATGTTCATATTTTTTAAGAGTTTTTCCAAAAAGCATTAAATTTGATATCGTATATTTTTAAGATATTTATCCGATTTTAATCATTTTTATCTCCAATTAATCCCTATGGGTTGCATTTTGACAATACATATTTTATTTAACATATTATGGTTTTAAAATAAAATATAATATAAAAAATGTCCTTGAATCAAGGATCTCATAAAAACGGTAGGTATTTCCCATTTTTATTATTCCTACACTGAAATTACTTAATAGTATCCCAGCAAAAACTCAGTATTGGGTTGTATTCATTTCAATCACTATTTTTTATCACCTGCATTACCTTCAGGTAATCTTGTAATTACTTTCTTTTAATCTGATATAGAAGTACTTAATTTTCGACTTTGTCATTTTGTTTGCACATTTTATTTGATTGAAAGATAAGAATTGTGTTTTACCAAAAAGACAACAAAAATAAATTTGTATGTGAAAACCATTATTTGACGGGTAATAAAATAGTAAAGAAGTGGTGCAGTGAGTAGAACATTTGACTAACAAACCGAAGTCCGTAGTTCGTATGCTCGATGGCCGTTTTTATTATTAAAAACAAAAGAACTTAATCAACAACTTCTTATGGCTCAAATCTTCTATCGGATTGATATCTGAAAATTGTCTCAGATGTATTAAAACATAAGAAACATTGTATGGAAGTCTTATACGCACAATATGAGACGCATGATTTTAGTTATTATCGTCTTATAAGGAAAATGAGTCTGGTAAATGAACTATTCGCGACTTTGTGTAAGGTCTTCTTTTAGAATATTTACTTTCCGCCTTTTTCCCATGATAATCCGCAGAAGCGGACATAATCCACAATGTTTTGCTTTTTCAAAAAGTTTTTAATGAAAATCCCAGCAAAAAATAATTGATGTCATACTTTACAAACTTCATCTTAATCACATCTTAAAATGCGATTACATATTTTTCACTTTTATAAACCAAATATTTCCTTACAAATGAAACCCCAGTTAAAAGTGAGGAAAGAGATGTGGAAAAGTCATTACAAATAACATATTTGAAGTACATCAAGATTTGGTGAAAGAGTAGTGAAATTTACATAAGCGTGTCATTAAGAGAATGTGTTTTATTTTTGACATCCAAATATCGGATTTTTACTGCTTCTAAAAATAAGATCAGATGTAGTTCAAAGCTGCCAAAAATGAACAACATCCCTCCAATGACACGCTAATGTAAAATTCATAGGTTTTACACCCGAATTTGAAGCACTTCGGGTTACTAGTTGTGATGAAAATTCTACATCTTTTTCTACACTTTTTTTGCTGGGATACGGATGGAAAATTGAAAATCGTATGATTTTTTTAATTTTTTTGAAAAATTTTAAAACGATTGGATTTTTTCGTTTTATTTCAGTTTTATATTTATTTAAACAAAGAAAAACATAAAAACAGAAACTAATTTCAAAAAAAAAAAAAACATAAATAAAATGAATATTTACGTTTTTTCTTTGAATTTTTTTAAATTGAAGATTCATTTTATTTCAAATCTGATAGTGCAAAATCAAAATATATTTTCTATTTGATTTTTTTGATAATCATACCAATTTTCATTTTATTTTGGCAGTATGAAATAAAAATCTAACGACTTCTCTCATAGTGTGTAGGCAGCTTTATGACCAATTAAATGTTTTGCATTTTCAAATAAAACTGCTTTCTTGAAGCGCAGCATGACTCTCCGAAATATATATTGTATAAACTATATATAAGTTCAAACTGCCCTTTCTTAAACATCTACATATGTCTAGGTTATGCAAGATTCTGCAGATTCTCATTGTATTTACACATTTTTAAAAAATAAACTAATTCTATGAAAATGTTAGGCAAACTGACCATCCATTTCACTTTAACACGTGATAACAGTTCATTTTAATAGTAGAAATAATAGCGATTTCGCCAAAAAAATTTAGGACTACATATAAATTTTTAAGATAGTTGGTAAGTGTGCCAATAATTTTGTTCAGGAAAATTGGGTACTTTTTTGAATATCCTATGTTTAATAGCAAATATGATAAACATTTTGTAAGGCAGAACGGTGAATTTTGTGGAGAACTTATCAAAAAAACTTATCTAGTAAAAATTTCTCTTAATTAAAAGTCTATGCAATAATGTCATCAAATCAATCGTGCAGTTAAATGTGCCAATCATTTGGTTTACCAGTGTATATTTACTTTATGTGTTGTCAGCACCACAAAATTTTAGGGAATTTTGTATACATTACGATTTTGCTTTACCATTTTATAGCAAAATACCAAAAAACTCATATAATTGAACATAATTTTACGATAAGTTGAACCGAGAGAAAAACGTATTTTCGACCAACCTTAGTGATCATGTTAATTAAGCATTAACAAAATTTGACAAATATAATTCAAAATCATGTAGAAACAAGATACACTTCTAGTTAACTTTTACAGACTAACCACAATGCACAACTTTCTCAAAATTTAGTATTAGACAACATAAATAACACACTTTTGCAGTCTACCTACAAGCTAACTATCATTCAGTTTCGACATGTTTTTTCTAATGTAAAATTCATTGGTTTTTCTTCCAAATTTGAAGCACTAGTTGTAATGAATTCACATCATGATCTATTGCCTTTTTTCGGCAAAAATATTTACAAGCAATTATTAACGAGACTTACGGAAATATTATTAAAACTTGGTGTCAGCTGATATGCTATGAATGTTTTCATCCCTTTGAATTTTGATTCCTTTTTAGGGCTGGCAACAATAACAGAAAAGGATTGATAATTAGGTTGCCACTGGTAAAAATTATCCAAAGGCACAATTTGAACTTGTTCACTTTCCGGCAATTTGTCTTTATTTCCTAAGCCAAGAATGAATGAATCAGAGCTTTTTCCAAACATACTTGATTTTTTAAGGGTTGCCGTATTATTAGATGCAGTTGCAGCTGACGCTAACGAAATATCATCACCAGGAGTGGCAGGTAAGTATTTGTTATCGTAACTACTGGCCGAATGTGTCAGAGGATTTGTTTGTAACCTAGAACCATTGTTTGATGGACCGATTTCAGAATAAGTATCATTATCGTCATCCCAGTCGTCTTCCCAATCATCGCCTTCATTATTATAATCATCAGCAGTTGCATCATAACGTCCACCAGAGTTTTGATGATCAATTGAACTTTGTTGATGTTTAACTTCAGCAGCAGACATCACCTCAACATAGGCAGCAGGAAACAGGCCAATGTCTCCCTGGCTATTTTTTCCTTCCCACCAACCCTCACCAACATCAGTACGTGTCACTGACAGAATTTCTCCGACTTTGATAGAAATTTCTGATGAGTCAGGTTCACCAGAAAATTCATATAAAGCTCGTACATAAGACGACATTGTCCTGATATAATTGTCGAAACTAAAAATCTAATAAAAATAGGTGTTGTTGTTAAAGTACAAAGAAGAAATATCGGCGCCTACCAAAGTAAAGACAACGCCTGTCACTAAAATTTTTGTGGCGGCTTAAAAACGTTATTAAGTTGGTTAAGTTTAGAAACAAAACCGGTACCGTCACTGTTACCGCTCCGCAAAGTATACAGAGACGTCAAAAATATATATTTGCATTTTTCGCACGATACCATTCAACTGGTTTCGTTTTGGTCTTATATTTTGGTTTTCTTTTCAACTTTCTTATTAGAGTAAATAATTAGTAAACTGTTGTAAAATATATAAAAAATAAAACATCATAATATGTATGTATATATATATATTAATAAAACACATAATTTTTATACAATTAAAACTATTTAAAATTTAGCACGAACATTATTCTCAACACAACACGCGTTGTACGCGGCAGCGCGTTTTAGGCTTCTGTCAATAAAGTTGAAATACTGTATTTTTATTTAACAAGTTACACACTGTAGTTTTTAACGCGTCTGCCATGAAAAGTTCAGCAACTTTCAACTATTCGTCAATAGTTGAAAGTTGCTGGCAGCTGATCAGGGTTGTATTTTGTTTTGTGTAGAATAAGAATAAACTTAAATGAAATAAATTTCACCAATAATGAAAGAATAATATTAAAAATAAACAAAAACTTAAAAATTTGATTTTTAAAACAGTAATAGTCTTAAAAAACATTAAAAGAAATATCAAAATGACGCGTGGTGTGTAACTTGCAGCTTGTAAACCGCGAAAAGTTTGAAAAGCGTAAAACGCGTTGCCGCCTCAACGCGTGTTGTATACTTCCACCTTAAATGTAATGTCGCTTGCTATGATTGAATATTTTCGAAAAATCTGTTTTTTTTATAAGTAAAATAAATAACCATATTGTTTGTTTTTTCTTTGAATTGCTTCATTTTCGTTGATAACGCTTAACAACAGAGCTGTTTACTTTGTGCACAACGCCATCTGTTGGGGCAAAGCGAAAGCAATGAATTACTCCTATCGTTGAATTGACGTTTGCATTGATTTTTGTTTATGAAAATCTAACTTTATTTTGGGAATAGAAATGTTAGTTTTCGAAACCGCTAACTTACAGATGCTAACCAAGGCTTCATTGGCGCTTTAGAGTAGATTTTCTGCCATTTTTCTGGAGAATCGCCTGGAGTCACCATTAAAAAGTTTTTATAAAAAAGAAAAAAAGATTAAAATTAAAAGTTTTTTTAAATTAATATTTTTTAAATTCTTGGCAAATTAGCCAAAATTGTGAGTATTTCCTCAAAATTAATCAACGTTTTGTACATGTCTTTGTTTTTTTATTAAACAATAGCCATAAAACTATTGTTTGCTTTTTATTTTTTTTTTTTTAGTTTCTGAGAGAATCGAAAATATATATTTTTTCTTTGATAGGACAGAACTTGTCCAGATCGGAAGTATTCTTCAATTTGATGAAAATCAAAATTAGATGGTTGAGATTCTTATCCTGCGATTATTTTCCAAGCCTGGTTTTGTTTTTGTATTAAAGGTGTCAATTTTAAATGGTAATATCAATATAAACTTATAGCCTTATTCATAATAAAAAGTTGGCAGCAGTTTATACATCACAAACAACGAGCTGCTTGCTAGAATATTGATTAGGCTTAGAAGATTGTTAGCATGAAGTTTATTCATAATAAATTTTAAAATGTCAACTAAGTAGTTATATTACAACTCTGAAATTTTGCGATGCCATACTGAACTTAAAGAAATGGCAACATTATGTAAAAACAATCAACTCTGATTTTGACATTTACATTTGTGTTTTCCCCCATATTGCAAAAATATATTTAAAATAATTAAAAAAAAAATTTTTTTTAATGAAATAAAATGGACAAACAAACTACTAAAAGATCAGTGAATTGGGAACAAGAAGAAAAGGTAGGTTTAAATTATACCAGCACACATTAGTTTTTACACGGTGTATTTTTAGGATTTACTATCTAACCTTGTATTGGACAAGTTGGAAGTTATTGAAAATGCAAGGATCGATACTAACACCAATAAAATAAAAAGAGAGGCTTGGAATACTGTACACAATTTATTTAATAAAGTTTCAAAAAACAAAAGATCTATTGAGCAGATTCAGAACCAGTGGAGGAAAACAAAGTCCCTAGCAAAGACAAAAAATTCTGCCTATCTCCGGCAAACAAAGAAGATAGGTGGTGGTCCAGCTCCTGAGCCTCTAAATAGCGTCGAGGAAGAGCTAATTTGTCGATTACCTAAACATTTTGAAATCGACAAAAACATATATGATAGCAATTCAATAAATGTTGAAATACCCTTGAAAATTGATGAAATCAAATCTAATCCACAAGTGGAAATCAATTTCAGTAACGAAATTTTGGATTGCGAAGAAATTAATTTGGAAAATATAAAGCCAAAAAAAAAATACAAAAAGCGAAAAGTTCGATGAGAATTCCAAAAGAATAAAATTACTTGATGTCAGTATAAAACAAAAAGAATTGGAAATGAAATTTATGGAAGAAAACCATTTTATGCAAAAAAAGAAAAATGAAATAATAAACTTACAATTAATTGAGGAACATGGACTGAAGATGGAAAAATTGAAACTAGAAATTGGAAAGTTAAAGAAATTTCAATATCGAAGTATTTCAGACGACTTTTAAAAGTTCAACCACTTATTAAAAGATGCCAAATTTTATTAGATGCCAGTCACTACATTTTATTTTATATTTTTTTTTTTTTTTTTTTTTTGATTAAAGCACATGCCAAAAAAATGTTTAATCCAAAGATCAAAGTATATTTTTCCAAAGGATTGATGGAGAAAACTAACTTCATATGATGTAAATATTGTAAAGAGTCCGAGTCAAGATTAAGAGCCGCTTAATCAATCCTTTGGAAAGGTATACTTTGGTTTCTGGGATAAAGATTTTTTAAGATTTTATTGATCTTTGTAATTTTTTTATAATGAAAATTCGAATTAACGAGTAGTGTTCCGCTTTTCGAATATTTAACATGGATTTATATTATTTTTTATTAATCGTAAACAAATATTTCGTTTTAGAAAATATTATTTTCCACAAAGTACAAATTTATGAATTGTTGAATTAGTTTTAATTATTTGTTTTTAATAAAATTAAATTAATAAAATAAATTATTTTTGTATATCCATATTATTATAAAATTCAATACAACCAAGGAAGAATTTGTTCTAAAAAAGGAAGTTGTGTAACGGCTGCAAGTATAACCAGTTTTAGAACAGTTCTAAAGAAGGTTCATAACATCTCTAAAGCTTCCCTAGCACTAGTTCTGGGTGGGAAAATTCGAAACAAAATCAAAGATTTAAGAACTGTTCCTAATATAGAGTATCGAATCTATAACCCTTATTTAGAATCAGTTCCAAATGTGATAATTTCAAATAAAAATCATTTGTATTTTCTTTGTACATGTAATTTTAAAAATGCTGCTGAATATAAAGGGCTCTTGAAATGTTTTCATTTTCAACATCATTCTGATAAGTTTGATGATTTTCTTTTTCAGTATAAAAAGGTTCTTCAGTATCATCTATAAAATAAACATTTGAAAAAGTTTTTTATGTGTTTTGTAAACATATCAATAAAAATCTTACAAAAGTCTTGTTATTTGTACATAATCGACAAATTATGTAGGACTGCAAGGGCAACGATAAGAATTTTGCAATTTTTTCTAGACATTCGCATTTTTTCTAAAAGTATACGAAATCTGCTTTTCCACACTCCAAAAAGTCGTTCAACTACGTTTCTGGTTTTGATATGGACTTTATTAAACATGTCTTCTTTGGAGTCTTTCGGATTTTGTATAGGTGTAAACAAATAATTTGTGCATTTATATCCACCGTCTCCAATTAAGCGACCCAAAAATTCGTTCTTTTCAAAGCGCTCCTTTATTTTGCTCTCATTAAAAATTCTGGAGTCATGAGCGCTTCCTTTCCAACAGGCAACAATGTCAGTAATTTTCAATGACGCATCACAAACAGCCTTCAAAATAATTTATTAAAATATTGTTATGAATATTTCTTATTAACGAATGAACTTATAATTATAATACCTGTACGTTTAATGAAAAGTACCCTTTCCTATTAACATACAATTGTGCATCATCGCCACTTTCAGCTTGGATTCGGATATGTGTACAATCAATTGCACCCATAACATTTTCAAAACCAGCTATTTGTTTAAATTTCTCCATGACAAAAATTTGTTCTTCAACTGATGTAGCCATTTTAATAATTGTTGTAGCCTTTTTAGCTAAGGCCTTGGATACTTTTTCGCATATTGTGCTCATTGTAGACTGGCTGAAACCGTGAAAATCTGCACAATCATCTTGAACCGAATTGCGGCCCCAACATCTTATTGCTGCCAAAACTTGTATATGAGGTGGAATAGACCCACCTCTCCCTTTGCCATTGTTTTTTAGTTCACTTTCAACTAATTTTATCACTTTTTTGCATTTTCTTTAGAAAATCGATATTTTATACGAAATTCATCGTTGCTATACACTACAAATGGATCATTTCTTTTTTTATAAACTTTTGTAGCCCGATAACGTTTTTGTAAAAATTTTAAGGTGTCCAAATTATCAATTGTGTCCATTTTCATTAATAAACAAAAATTTTAATTTTTAATTTATTTTTTTGACACAAAACAGCTGTTTTCAATGAGTTAGAATGAGTTTAGAAACTCGTTAGCAAGAGTTTAACAACTATTTGGCAACCGTTTACTAACTTTATTATGAATAACCGACTTGCTAGGTTAGGTTAGGTTAGGTAGGCAGGTCGTCCTCGCGATGTCATCACTGGGGACACACTTGGGTCCAGAATTTTGATCCCTTTGTGATACCTGAAACGAGAGAGAACGGTCGGCGTATTAGTACACTTCAACCTAATCACTCTGGTTTCCACCGAACCAGTTTGTCGCACGAATATAGGAATCTATCTTTCGGATATCAACCTCCGATAGATCCGCTAAGTCATGCAGAAAA